GTGGTGCTGGGGGATTGAACCGCGGTCCCTGATGCTTTTGCTAAGCTTGTTCTAAGTAGGTGCTTTAGACCACTGAGCCATCTCTCCAGCCCCGAAGTGTTCTTTGTACTTAAACTTCCTGCTTTTTTTTTTTTCTTTTTTTGCTTTCTTTTCTTTTCCAGACCAAACAATGTCCAGAGTGAAAGTTACATTGGTAGGACCTGAAGGGGACTCAGCCAAAATAAAAACTAGAAACCCAAGAGGCCCCAGCTGGGTATGGTGGCTTGTGCCTGTCCTCCCAGTACTCAGGAAGCTGAGGTAGGAGGAGCACTGCGAGTTGAAGGCCAACCTGGCTACATAGTGACTTCAAGGTCAATCATGAGACCTTGTCTTTTGAAAACCAAATCAAGGGCTGGGTAATAGCTCAATGGCACAAGCACCTGCCTGGCAAGCACAACGTCTTAAGTTTGATTCCTGGTTTAAAAAAAAAAAAAAAAAAAAAAAGCCATTGCTACACCCCCCCTCCCCACCTGCGCCACACACACAAAGAAGGAAAAAGAAACCCGTGACCCCTTTTTTCTTTTTTTTTTTTCCAGAACCAGGGATTGAACTCATGTCCTTGCACTTGCCAGGGAAGTGCTTATTCCACTGAGCCATCTCCCCGGCCCCCATGTGACCCCTTATACCAGCTGGGGACAGAACCAGAGCCTTTGCCTGAGCTTCATTTCCGGCCTTTTTTATTCTTATTTTTTATTTTGGCAGAACCGGGGATTGAACTCAGGCCCTTGCACTTTCCAGGGAAGCGCTTATTCCACTGAGCCATCTCCTATTCTGAGACAGGGTCTCACTTAAATCAAACACTCAGGTAACTAGAAATTGGTAATCTACCTGCCTCAGGCTCCCAGAGTGCTAGGATTACTGGTGTGTGCCACCACACCCTCTTTTTCCTACATGCCTTTGTCCTAACACCCCAACTTTCCAACTGGTTCCCTGAACTTTTTTATTTTTTGCAGAACCGGGGATTGAACTCAGGCCCTTGTGCTTGCCAGGCAAGCACTTATTCTACTGAGCCATCTCCCCGGCCCCTGGTTCTCTGAACTTTAGCACTTCTGGGGCCACACATAAGACAGCCAGCAGTCCAGGTACCAAAATGAGTTTATTTGCATGTTTATGGCAGGGCTGGGAAAGTGTTCTTAAGAGGCAGGATGGAGTGAGGCACTGGGCACAGGGACACCCGTGGCATTTCCCCCCAGGGCAGCCCCATGGACTGCTGGGACAGTAGCAGGGGGCGGGGGTTCAGGGGTGGCAGCACAGCCAGGCCACTGCATAGGGCTATGGCCTGGGGTTCTGCGTGCCACCTGGTGGCTTCTAGGGGACCAAGGCTGGGGTCCCCAGAGCTCTGTGCTCAGCTGTGCACCATGTTAATTGCACTTGTTTAGCTGCAAGTGCCCCAGGCACGAGAAATGACAGGGTTGTGTAGTCAGGTACAGTGTGGGGACAGGGAAGGGCTGCTGGGGTCCAAGGCCACTGGTGACTCCCATGGGGTGCAGCTGGGGCAGGTGGGGCTCCCTCTGGGCCCTGCCCTCATAGCCCCCAAAGGCTTTGACTTGGGTCTCAAAGGGGAGACTGGGGCCAGGCCCCCCAGGTCCAACGAGGACCACGTAGACCTAGTTATCTTGCTTGGTTTTATTTCTGTGGTCCTGGGGTGGACACCAGGGCCTCTGCGCTGAGCGCCAGCCCTTTCCTTTCTTTTGAGACAGGGTCTAAGTCACTAAATCACCCAGGCTGGGCTTCAACTTGTGATCCTCCTGCCTCAGTCTCCCAGAGTGCTGGGATGACAGGTGAGGGTCACCATGCCAGCTTACAATATGGTTCTCAGGCACCCAGGGAGCAATTTCTGGCAAGGGTGGATGAGGGAAGTTGCCACAGGGGAATTAATTCCTGGGGCCCCTGTGATGGGGGGACAGCTCCAGAGACAGCAGGCTTTCATTTACTTGCTTAAAAACAAAACAAAATAAAAAACAAGGGGTTTTTTTGAGATAGGGTCTGGTTAGGTAGCCCAGGCTGGTCTTGAACTGTGGGCGATCCTCCTGCCTGCCTCAGCCTTCCAAGTGTTGGACTTACCATGTAGGCCACTAGGACCAGTTTTTTGGGTTTTTTTTTTTTTTTTTGCGGAACCGGGGATTGAACTCAGGCCCTTGCGCTTGCCAGGGAAGCGCTTATTCCACTGAGCCATCCCCCCAGCCCCCTCTTTTTTCTTTTTCTTTTCTTTTTTTTTTTTGGAACCAGGGATTGAACTCAGGCCTTTGTGCGCATATTCTACTGAGCCATCTCCCTGGCCCCACTAGGACCCGTTTTGAAGCACCTTTAAGAACATGTCAAGATGCTTGTAAATGAGGCTGTCCACAAATTAAGTCTCTCACTGACACAGGAAGATGGCTTCAAGTCATGGCGAAGGCAGGAGGATCACCCTGGACTCAGTGCCCGAGTCTAGAGATTGGAGGGAGGAGTGAGGTCAGTATTCTGGGGCAGCTGAAGGAAGAGACGTGGCAAGAGAGGGACACCCAGGTGACAAAGGTCCCAAGGGGTCCAGCAGTACCTCTTTGGAAATGGGCTAGGGGCTGGGATAAGGAATGGGAGCCAGGCTCTCTCCTGAGCAGTGGGGCAGGACACCAGAGGAAGGGACACCGCATCCCATGGCAGGAGGGTGCTCACGGACACAGTTTCCTGGTCATTGAGGACACTTGGGCCCAGAGTTCAAGTCCTGCCTTCACCTGGGCAGACAGGAGGCACAGGCTCTTGGAGGTGACTTGGGGCCACGAAGGGAGGAATCCGTGGTCCTAGGCTTTTGAGGACCCTGTGCAGCCAGCTGGCGAGGGACAAGAAGTCCCCATGACACCCAGCTGGAGGATCAAAGCTGCCAGAGTCTCAAAGGTGCCCTCCCGTGAGTATCTGAGGCTGGCTGGGTCTTAGTGGCACATCCGAGTGGTCATTTCTTTCTGTTAAGAGGAACAGGACACGGACACAGACAGACACACAGGAGGCCACACAGTTAACATTCACAGGAAGCCAGGTGTGTGGCCGGTCATCCGGCACTCAGGAGGCTAAAGCAGGAGGATCACCGTGAGCTCGAGTCCAGCCTGGGGTACACATGAGTTCAAGGCCAGCCTGGACTATATAGTAAGACCCTGTCTCAACGACAAGCACAACAAATAGCAAGGCTGCTCCTCAGAACCCAGCTGGGGTAGTTTGCTGGGCAACCAGATGCCCGGTTCACAGCACCAGGGGTCTGGGAGGCCAGCATGGGGGTTGGTGGGAGCTGTACCATCCCTGCTCCGGGTCCATCCTGGAATGCAGGGACCTACACACAGGGCACTGGTGACAGTGCTCCGTCCACTGGGAATTTGAAGTGGGGTCTGACGCATAACCCCAGGATTTAAGGTCTTTACCTTTAGGTGGCATGTGGGGGTAGCAGGGTGGAGGGAGACGGCCACCGTGAGTGCTAGCCCTGCTTGGGGAGTCGGCTGGGTGCCCATGTCCCCATGATGCCCACAGAGGGGGAGCAGACTCTGGTGGCCTCAGGCCCCACCTCTCCTGTAAGTTCTTTTTCTTGTTTTTACACTGCACTGAGGGCTGAACCTAGGGCCTTCGCACTGATTGCATCTTCAACCTTTTTTTTTTATTATTATTTTTTTAACCTTTTTATTTTTTGAGACAAGATCTCCCTAAGTCACTAAGGTACCCAAGCTGGGCTCAAACTTGTGATCTTCCTGCCTCAGTGTCCCAGGCATGTGCTTGGGAGCTTTTGAACCTAAGGTCAGTGCTGTGCAGTGCAAAGGAACCAGAATCAGTGGCTGCAGTAAGGACTGGGCCTGTCCCTGAAGCTGCTGTGAGGAGGCCCTGGGCTCCTGGTCCCTGCCACCTCCCCACTCACCAGCGGCTCTAGCTCCTTGGTGTCAATGAGGCCGAACTCAGTGACGAAGTAGTAGAAGTGCTTGTAGCAGGTGTTCACGTGTGCCTCGGAGCCCATCTGCGCGATGCGATCGAAGTGGTGGATATAGACGTGCACGAAGACGCGGAAGAGGCGTGACATGATCTTCCGCACGGCCTGCAGGAAGTTCTTGGGGAATGGGGTGCCTAGAGAGGGCAGAGGGTGGGGGGGAGGACCATGGAGGCCAGGTTTGCCTGAGAGCCCTGGCTACAGCCTGAGCAGGGTGTGCCTCACCTCTGACCTGCAGGTGTGTGAGCTAACAGCTCAGAGAGGTGCAGACACTGGCCCACCACACCTACTGTCCCCATACTGAGGAGTCTGAGGCAGGAGGATCATGGGAGTTCAAGGCCAGCCTGAACTGGGAAAAAAAAAAAAGACCCTAGGCCAAGGTCATACAGCCACACCCTAGTCACTGCCTGAGACAGGTTTCCTCCAACCACCCTCCTGTCTTCCTGTGGAGTACCCTACGGTAGCTCCCTCAAGAACCTGAGCTACCATCTCCCCGCCACAGTGTTCTTTCCTGCTCATTCAGGGGTCTCTGTACAGATGTCTGGGACACTGACCATAGCTGTTACTGTAGGAGTTTGTGCATTGGGGTCGCTCAATCCAGTCAATGTCGCTGGGCTTCCCTGTGCCCAGTAAGGACTGAAGCTAAGACTGTGAGGGCCACCAGAGGCCGAGACAGGGATGCGGGTTCTCCCAGGGATTGTGGGAGGGACAGCCCCATTGCCTACGCCTGGACTGCCGGCCCAGGAGGCCTGAGCTGCCCTTGGATCCCAGGACAACAAAATAACAAAGGTGTGCAGCTCGGAGGCACCAGCTTGGGGCCCTTGGCCCCAGGCCCGTGGAGACTCCCACAGGGTCTCCCGTGAGTGTGCACTCCAGCCCCACGGTGCAGGACAGAGCAGGGGCACAGAGGCTCCAAGGTGTAGCCTGATCCCCAGGGTGCTGGCAGATGTGAGCAGCCTGAGGCTGTCTTTCTACTTGCAGTGTGTGTGGTCTTGCTATGTAGGCCATGCTGGCCTCAATTTTAGGATTTTCTTGCCTCAGCCTCGCAAGGGCCAGGATTAGAGGCATGTGCCACCACACCTGGCTAAATTACACACTTTTTTTTTTTTTAAATGATCCTCCTGTTTTCAGTTTTCCCCCCAGTGCTGGGATTATAGGCGGTCTCAGTGCTGGCTCAAGCGCACTGGGAGGAGGGGCCAGCACAGAATGTGGTGCTGGGGATTGAACCCCAGTCCCTAAGCTTGCCTAAGCAGGCACTGAATTACACATTTTAAAAGGATGAATGAAGCTGGGGACAGTGGCACACACCTATCACGGCAGTGCCTTAGGAGACTGAGCCAGGAGGATCTAGAGTTCAAGCCCAGTCTGGGTAATTTACCAACACCCTGTTCTCAAAATAGAAAACAAAAAGGGCTGGTGATGTAGCTCAATGCAGTTTTTGGGTTCAATCCCCGCTACCACAAGAAATAAAGGGTGAGTATGTATGAATGATACGATAAAGGAATTACGTATCAACAAAACCATTACTTACAAAAACAAAAAGCAGAGCTAAAACTCATTTGGACCTTTCTTTTCCTATTCTCACTTTTTTTTTTTTTTTTTTTTTTAGGGAAGGGTCTAAAGGGTGTTCAGGGTCTCACTACTAGATTGGACTCATAGGGATCCGCCCATTTACAGCTCCCAAGAGGCTTGAGCTGGCCACACACACACACACACACACAAACACACAAATAAAAAAAAAAAAAAGAGGCTTATAGGTGTGTGTCACCACACCCAGTTGTCTCAGTGCGCCCTGGGGGCAGGGCTGGCAGGGCAGGTCCGGGATCAACCCCCAGCCCCTGCTTGCAGGCGCTTTAATCCGCTATTTGGCCAGCCATTATTATTATTATTTTTTTAAATTTATTTATTTTTTTATTATTATTTCTTTAAATTTTATTCGTGTGTGTGTGTGTGTGTGTGTGTGTGTGTGTGCCCACCAGAGCCCACGGGGGGCTGGCATGTGGTGCTGGGGGATTGAACCGTGGTCCCAGTGCTTTGCTAAACTTGTTCTAAGTAGGTGCTTTAGACCACTGAGCCATCTCACCAGCCCCTAGCCACTATTATTATTATTTTTTTAATTTTTGTTTTTTTGAGAGATGGTCTGGCTATGTAGTCCAGGCTGCCCTTGGACTCTCAGGGACCCTCCTACCTCAGCCTGCCATGTGGGCAGGAAAGCGAGACCTCGGCCCAGTGTGGAGGAAGCCCTCAGCCCCAGTGCCCGCCCGTGGCTCACCGACATTGGTGGGGAAGATGTCCTCATTGTTGATCTGCACCTCGACCCAGTCCATGAGCAGATCCATGTAGCGCGGGGCAGACAGTGCCGTGGGCTTGCGGAATCGGTGCTCATCCTGCCAGCGGTACTCGTACTTGGGGCCCCCGGACATGATGGGGCAGGAGCGCTCCGTGCAGCCATCGCTCACTGTACCGTAGATGAGGTTGAGGCGGTTGAAGAAGTCCACTACGTGCACCGCCACCCAGTCGTTGAGCTCCTCGCCCGGCGGCAGCTGCACGGCCTGTCGGAGGTCTAGCCCCGCATGCAGAGACGCCTGCGCCCGCTTGTGCAGCTCAAAGCGCTGGGTGCCTGGCTCGAACTTGCGCTTGGGTCGGAAGGTCTTGTCCTTTTGGAAGACCTGTTTCAGGAACGGGCTGGACATCTCGGCCCTGGGACTTGCAGAGCTGCTTCACGAGGGAGGTCAGCTGCCGTGGGACCTAGGCAAGCTCCCGGCTCTTCCCTGTGCTCTGAAATTCATTGAGAGAGAGGCACAAATTAGGGCCTGCTCACAGCTGCAGACACCATGCCTTTCTGCCCCCCACATTCCCCATGTGGAGCTTCAGCCCTCATGGTGGCCTCCACAAGATGTCCCCATCCTGACCCACGGAAGCTCTGGGGTGGACCTTATACAGAAACAGAGTCCTTGAAGGTGAGAAGAGGTTAAGGTGTAGAGGTGAGGTCATCTTAGACTCCCTGGGTGGCACTGAATCCAATGGCTAGTGCTCTTGGGAGACAGAGCTGGGTGTGATGACGCACACCTGTCATCCCAGCATTCTGGGAGGCTGAGGCAGGAGGACAACTTAGCCCAATGAAAGGGACAGGGGTAGAGCTCTGTGTGAAGGCCTTCAGTTCAATCTCCAGTACTGAAAAAATTAAATAATAAATAAATTAGAAAAACATTTAGGGGCTGGGGAGACAGTAGAATAAGTGCTTGCCTGGCAAGCGTATGGTCCTGAGTTCAATCCCCAGTACCCAAAAGAAAAAACAAAAAGAAAAAGATTTCAGACACAGCTGACCACTGTCAGTTCTGAAAGGAAAAAGAAGCGGAGACAGAAGTCAGGCTTGGTACCATGCATGTCCCAGCGCTCCGAAGGATGAGACAGGAGGATCACTGGGAGTTTGAGGCCAGCCTGGGTTACATAGTGAGTTCCAGACCAGCCTAGAATATACAATGAGACCTTGTAAAAAAAAAAAAAAAAAAAAAAAAAAAAAGGAAGATATGGTAGAGATGATGCTGATGGCCACAGAAAGGACAGCCATGCAAATCTGGAACAAGATGGCCAGAAGTCAAGGAACAACCAGAATTACAGCCACCTCCCGATGCTGCGGATGCGCCTGGCATCAGATTCTTCCCATGCCCTCATTTGCAGCCAGCCCGGCCCATATCTTGATCTAGGACCCCTGGAGCTCACAGATAAAACACTCCTGTCCTTCATGGGCTCTGCTCCCCAGGACTGTGTCCAAATCCCTAGTAGCTGGACAAGGCCTGCAGGACTGCATGTGACACCATCTTAATTTAATCGAGGTGCAAAGGCCACGCTTCCAGCTGGGTGCACGCCTGTCACCCCAGGACTTAGGAGGTGGAAGCAGGAGAATTGCCTTGAGTTCTAAGCTAGCTGGATCACGTACAAAACCCTGCCTTTCAAATAAAATAAAATAAAAAATAACAAGGGCCAGGGATGGAGCTTGGCAGAGGCCTGGGTTCCACTCCCAAAGTCACAAAGAGAGAGAGAGAGAGAGAGAGAGAGAGAGAGAGAGAGAGAGAGAGAGAGAGAGAGAGAAGAAAAGAAAGCAAGCCTGAAGAGCACACTGGAGACCAGGGGTGCGGCCAGCATGTGGCCGCCTGGCCCAGGCCTGTGCGTGTCTCCCGCCTGCATTTCTCAGCCTGCAAGACACTCCTGGTCTAGCAGGGATGGACTGATTCTATTCCCAGTCAGGTGAGAAGAGACACCATTCATGCTGCATGGTGTGCCTGTGCCACAGGGAATTGCCTGTGTCGCCACTGTCATTTCTGTCACTGCCAATGATGGTGCCTGGCAATGTGGACTTGGCTGTGACCTATGGGGCCTGTGTCAGATTAGGAACACAGGGAGAGGAAGTGGCAGAAACGGGAAGTGGCTGAGGCAGGGACAAAAAGGCCTGGGGCCTGGGGACACCTGGGGCCCTGGGGCTGCTGGGCTGGGTCCTAGACTCAAGGGGCACCTGCTTAGCATAAACAAGCGCTTAGAAGTACGCAATAAACATGATGAAGCTCCGGCACTTCTATTTTTCTTTTTGCTTAAATCTCTGGAGTCAATTTCTTTCTTTCATGACCAAAGGGCCTGACCTTGTGGCACGTCCGAGGGGACCCCACGCCATGAGTCTCAGGGGGCACCACACTGGTGACATGTGTCTCCCATAGCCGCTGCAGGGTGACACCAAAACGTGGCCTAGGACAACACAGAGTGATTCACCAGGCCCCAGCTATGCAGGAAGCTGAGGCAGGAGGATCATAAGTTGGAGCCCAGGCCAGGCAATTTAGCAAGTCCCTGTTTCAAGTGTGACATAGCTCAGTACCAAGGCCCTGGATTCCACCCCCAGCACTGTGAAAAGGAGGGCAGGTGTGGGAGGGCAAGAGGCAGGCAGGGGCCGCAGGCTGCCAGGGGACTGGGTTCGCCCCGGGACTCAGGAGGAGCAGCCCCACCCCCCGCCCCTGGAGGCCCCAAATCAGCCTCCTGCCCCTGGGACTGAGAGAATAAATGTTTTCCAGCCTCTGAGTCTATGAGGATCTGTCCTCACATCAACAGGAAACCCTGGGAAGCAGGGGCATCAGAGGCCACTCAGAATGCACCACAGGACAGGGTGGAGGAGTGAGGTGGCCTGTCCCTGCACTGTGTCACCCAGGTTGCCTCAGGGCTTTCGGCATTAGGACACAAACTTAGGACAGTGTGAATTGTCCCAGGGGAACTAAGGAGGTAGGGCTGACACAGAGCCGGGGATGGGGAGAGAGAATGAAGCAATTTCGAGGGCAGCAGTGGTTTGCAAACTGAACCAGGCCTTCAAAGCCCAGCATGGTGGTGCACTCATGCCTGGCATCGCAGCACTTGGGAGGCTGAGGCCGGAGGGCTGTCATCATGCATTTGATGTCAACCTAGGATGCCCAGGGAGACCTCACAAATGGTGGGCAGATATGTGATGTGGTGCAGTCCCCAGGGAGAGGTGGCCATCTCTCAAAAGGTTGGAGAAGGTCACTGCTATACCCAGGGGCCGCATGGAGAGTGTGTGGCACACCAGTGCGACTGACTACTGTGCTCACAGGGGCAGGAGCGCAGCCAGTAGGGAGCCCACCAGCATGTCAGCACTTCCTGCCCCCTGGCTCTGACGGGTGCTTCACAGCTTCCTGTGGAAAGACGCCATCTCCACTTCGCAGACGGCTGCCCAGGGGCCAGGATGCTCCCAGGCTCTGGGACACGGATTGGTATGCTACGTTCTCGGGGACACCCGAGAGCCCTGCAGGGTGCCAATCAGCATCCCTGCCCACCGCAGGCTGGAGCGCTTTCTCAGCTACTTGTGTCCCCAGGCATGGCCTGGTGTCCCCTGGGGCAGCATCTGTGGACAAGCCCCTCAGGGCTGGACAGGGACAGCTCTTTGTATCTTCACATCTGCTGGGAGAGAGAAGTGGCTAGATTGTGGGGCACAGGCACCCAGTACCCCACACAACTCGGAGGCTGGAACTCCACCAGCCCATGCTGAAACTAGGGTCCCCTCACCAGGGCCCCTCCAGTGCTGGTTAGGCGGCCAAGTCACCCTGACTTCTGCACCTCAGAGGGGCCAGCCCCAAGCACTGTTCCTGGTGTCAGAAACAGATCCAGGGCTGGGTGGCTGGGGACAATGGGAGTCCTTGTGCCTGGACTGGCCACTGCCTCCATGGCAACTGCCTATGGCCACTCACTGCCGTCCATGAGGGGACAGGGGAAAATCCTGTGTCTCCCATGAAGGTCCTGTCCAGAGCCCCATCCTGGTCTCCAAGCCACAGGCTCATGCTACCCAGGGTTGGGGGACAACATCAGGCTGATACTAGCTCCGTCCCTCAGCTACTCAGCCAGGCATAGCCGGCCACCACCTGCTTCCTTCCTTCCTTTTTTTTTTTTTTTTTTTTGGCAGTTCTGGGGACTGAACCAGGGCCTTTGCACTGAGCTAAATCCCCACCCCTTTTTAAAACTTTATTTCGGAGCAGAGTCTTGGTAAGCTGTGGAGGTTGGGCTCTGACTTGCAATCGTCCTCCTGCCTCAGCCCTTCCATATGGGATGACACCGCGGCCCGGGCTCTCCCTCCTGCCTACCCTCTGCTTCCTCATTCGTCAAGAACGAACTTTCCAACACTCACAGGAACCACAGCACAGAGGACATTCGAACCCCTCCCGCCCCTGCAGCTGTGACCTTTTGGGGCCTTCCCACCACAGTTCTGGGGGTTCCCTCCAACAATGTCGCCTGAGCAGGGCAGGCTGGGGGCTCATCTCCCACCCCAGTGGCACCCCAGCAGCAACCTGGCGACCCTTGGCTCCACTCTAGCTTGTGTCTCAGGCCTGTCTTTCTCTACAACCCTTCATGCCTGGCTATAGACTCCCACCCAGACTGTTCTAGCAACCAGGGTGGCAGAGAGGCTGACAAAGTCTCTGCCCACATTGCTGTCTCCTCTCAGAAAGTAGGAGAGCTGGCCATGGCAGCGCACACTTCTAAACCAGAACTTTAGGAGACCAAGGCAGTTGAGTCTAGCCTGGGCAATGTAACGACTTGGCTAGATGCTGTCTCAAAATAAAAAAAAATTAGGAAAGGGGTGGGGACGTGACCCAGAGCAAAGGACCAGCGTTTGAGCCCCTCCGAAAAGCAAGAAAGCTGGAGGATTTTTTTTTTAAGGTGAAAGTAATTTTTTCTAGAAACTTCTTGGATGGGCAGAGTCCCTATCAAAAGCCAACATGATCCTATCAAAAATAAACACTCGAAATATGGCCAAGGCATGACTGGCTCCCTGTGACAGGCCTCAGGCCACAACCGTCTTACCGCTGTCCCAAGTCCCCAGGCACAGTTTCCCGGTCCTCTGTGATCTCTCAACGGCTTCTTAAAACTGAACGATAACAGCTGTTGGCCCTCTGGGTCTTCTCACAGATCCACAAGACTCCAGTGACACTGGAAACTTCTAGAAGGTCAAAAGGTAAGATGACAAACTCCTCTGCCCCAGCACACTCCCTCCTTTTCCTTTTTTTTTTCTGAAAACAAAATACTGCACAAGTGGTTCCTCTAAGCAAACAACTGTCCCGACCCCTCCCAGGGCTGAGGTGCAGCAGCTCTCAGCCGAGTCACCCACTTCCTTCCGGAACCTTCCACATCCTGCTGCAGCAGCGGGTAGCCTGAGTGCAGAGATTGGCTCTATAATGTTCTTGATCGCTGCAACCCTGGCGTCCAGCTTGGCAGCCCCAGTATTTGGCTGGAAGACCGCTCCCAGCCCTGCACTATCCCTGCGAACAAAGTCTGCACCCCAGAGCTGTCCCTTAATCTGCAGTCAAATGCTCTACCACTGAGTTATACCCCCAAGTCTCCCTTAATCTAAGGATGATGGGTGCTTGCTCAAGACCCTGGGTTCCAAACCTGAACCAAGTAAATAAATAAGCAAATAAAAAAACTCAGGGGGCCAGGGAGATAGCTCAGTAGAATAAACACTTGCCTGGCAAGCGCAAGGGCCTGAGTTCAATCCCCGGTTCTGCAAAAAACAAAAAAACAAAACCTTCAGAAATTGGACAGACAGAAGAGGAAGGTGACGTGAAGACAAGGGAAAGATGGCCACATGCAGACAGAGGATTATAGTGATGGGTGTGGCCAACACTCTGCATCCCAGCTACATGGGAGGCTGAGACAGGATGATCCCAAGTTTGCCTGAGCAACTTAATGACTCGGTGAGACCCCGTTTCAAGAAAAAACACACACAAAAAAACAAAAAACAAAGCTGAGTGTGGCGGCACACATGTAATCTTAGCTCTTAGCACTCAGGAGGCTACAACAGGAAGATGCTGGAGTTCACAGTGAGCCTGGGCTACATACTGAGATCCTGCCTCAAAAAACAAAAAATAAAAAAGGGGTGTGGGGGGGTATAGCTCAATGTTTTATGAATTTGGTCCCTAGAACTAAAAAGAGAAAAAGAAAAAGAATGGTGCAAATATCTAGGGTCTGCTCAGTGGCACTATTTTTTCTACTTTTATTGATTGATTGATTGTGTGTGTGTGGCCAGCTCAGCCCACCAGGGGGCGGGGCTGGCTGGCATGTAGTGCTGGTGGATTGAACCACGGTCCCTGTGCTTTGCTTAGCTTAGCTTGTTCTAAGTAGGTGCTTTAGACCACTGAGCCATCTCACCAGCCCCTATTTTTTCTACTTTTCTAAAAAATGTATTTGGTACAGGGAGGGACTCGTGATGACCCTCCTGTTTTCAGTCTCCCCAGAGCGGCAATTATAGGCATGTGCCACCATGCCTGGTCTTGGTGCCTGCTCAGCATGCCCGGCGGGTGGGGCTGGTGCAGCATATGGTGCTGGGGACAGAACCCCAGTCCCTGCGCTTGCCTAAGCAGGTGCTTAGTCTGCTGAGCTATCTCGCTGGCCCATCAGTGGCACTGTTGGTTTTTTTTTTTTTTTTTTTTATTACGGAACAGGGGACTGAACTCAGGTCCTTGCACTTGCCAGGCAAGCGCTTATTCTACTGAGCTATCTCCCCAAGCCCAGGAACTGTTTTGTTTTGTTTTTTGGTGGAACTGTGAATTGAACTCAGGCCCTTGCGTTTGCCAGGCAAACACTTACTCTACTGAGCCATCTCCCCAGCCCCATACTTTTTTTTTTTCTTTTTTTGTATTTTAGTACAGGGTCTACTGGGTCTATAGGGTCTCAATCCTTACATCTGAGTCTGAAGCATTTTCCACTAGAACAGGGTTCCGAGCGCTATACACACTGGGCCGGGCTGTCTCTGCTGCTTCCGGGGCAGGTATTGAGCACTGTCCCAGGGAGCTCCCCTGTGTGGCAGCACCCAAGGACCCTGACAGCAAACTGGATTCAGGTTAGCACCTCTAGGTTTTCTCAACAGCTCCCCCTTTCTGTACCAGGGACTCTCTGAGGGAATTCTGGGGGCTCTCCCAGCCAGGTCCCTTGGCCCCCATCCCTGGGGGTCAGACCTAGGGTCTCCAGCGTCCTGGAACTTTCTGAAACCTGTATCCACAGGCTGGGCACAGACACCAACCTGACACTCCTTTGGTTTGGTTTCTGTGGGGCTAGGAGGAATCCAGGGCCTCTGCACAGAGCTCCAGCCCCAGCTTTTTTTTTTTTTTTTTTTGTGAAACCAGGGATTGAACTCAGACCCTTGCGCTTGCCAGGGAAGCACTTATTCCACTGAGCCATCTCCCCACCTCCCCCAGCTCTTTTTGTTTCGAGGCAGAGTCTTGCTAAGTTGCTGAGGTTGAACTCAGGCCCTTGTGCTTGCCAGGGAAGTGCTTATTCCACTGAGCCATCTCCCCAGCTCCTGGGCTCCCACTTTTGATGTCCCTTCCTCAACCTCTAGAGTGCTGGGCCAGGTGTGCTGTGTGGGTGATCCCGCCTTGGCTTGCTCACGCCCCTGGCCACTTCCTTTTCCTCCAGGCTGCAGTGAGTGCCCTGCGCAGCTGCGGGCCTGAGTCCCTGCGGGCACCTCTCTAGCCCCTCCCCAGCCTGCCCTGCCCCACGCTGGGCACCATGGCTCTTGTCAGAGGATAAACTACTTGGCTGTCACTGCTTGGGGAGCTTCTGGCCAGGGGCGCTGCTTGGCACCCTGCAGCCCACACCAGAAAGGGACCCAGTCCCAGGGTCCAGAGGAGACCCTCTCCGGAACCCCACATCAGAAGTAGAAAACAGTTCTGTGCTACCCTCACCTTATGAAAGAACAGGACATCCCACGCAGGTAAGCACAACCTGCGGGAGACCTGACGTTAACCCTGTGCGTCAGGTACCCAGCTTTACAAAGCACAGGCTGGCCCACCTTGGTCATGGGAGCAGCTGCTGCTGCCTGTGCCCCTACTGAAACCACAGGCTAGGGGACAGTGACAATCCTAGCTGGAGCCTGTTGGCCAGAAAAGACGGCCTATTCTCCTTTGGATTTTCACAGAATGTTGGCCAGAAAAGACGGCTAGGTGTTTAAGTAACCTAGGACTGTGCAGCCTCGGGACCCACAAGGAAGGTGACAGATGTTAGTTGTGATGGCGCACGGCTAGAGTCCTGGCGTTTGGGAGGCTGAGGTGGAAGGATCATTGTGGGTTCTAGGTCATCCTGAGCTGCATGAGACCTTGTCTCAGAAAGACCCCCCCCCCAAAAAAAAAAGAAACAACAGGCCTGGCTGTGGATGATGGACGTGTACATCCTGTGAAATAATAAACTGCTCAACAGTGGGGTGATGCACACTTGGGAGGCTGAGGCAGGAGGACTGCTGGGAGAGTTCATGACAAGCCTGGGCTACAAAGTGAGCTCAAGACCAGCCTGAGAGGGGTTGGGGAGATGGCTCAGTGGAATAAGTGCTTCCTGCCCAAAAAGACGAAAAAGAATAAAGCAACATAGTGTTTAAAAAAAAAAAAAAAAGGGGGCTGGTGAGATGGCTCAGTGTTCTAAAGCACCTACTTAGAACAAGCTTAGCAAAGCACAGAGACAGCAGTTCAATCCCCCAGCACCACATGCCAGCCAGCCCCGCCCCCTGGTGGGTTGAGCTGGCCACACACACACACACACACACACACACATAAATAAAATTAAAAAAAATCTGAAATTAGAAATCTTTGTTTCAAAAATGAGCCCCAAATTTAAATTATTAAATATCCTTATCAGTTCCGTATTCATGA